TCCAACATGACGGCGCTTTGATTTTCTTGCAAGTTTCTTGCAATAGCTGATTCAGGAGGAACTCAATTCATTCAAAGATGTTTAAAGAAAAAAATAAATAGCATCTATAAAACCAGAGTGGGAGAAAATGTCCAGGGCAAATCAGAGAGAGCTATGAAAAGGAAATTAAGAGAAATGGAGGCTAGAGTGAGAAGCTCTGATGTTTGTCTGATAGGAGTTTCAGAAAAAGAGAATGGGGAGAATGGTGGAGAGGTAACATTCAAAGAGAAAGTGCTTATACAAAGTGCAGGCAGGTTTCAGGAGATAAGGTGTCAAGAATAAGGAACAAAAGCAGTGTAGGAAACTATGAGCAAAGGTCCAGGGATTCAAGCCAAAGCATTTAGACAGAAAGAGGTAAAAATCTAAGTACGGGGAGAGCAACAGAAATAGTCATCAATGAGAATGGCATTTGATGATGAGGCAAATAATTTTTAGCTTCGTTCCCCTGGCTAGAATTGATCTGAATATGAGCGGAACTAAGCCCACAAATAGAGACAAATACAAACTTCTAACTGGGAGTGGAGGGTTAGGAATGAGGAATAAAACAGTTCTGGGTACTCAAATTTTCAAGGGCATATACAGCAAATGGAGATAGGTTTGGATTCTGTTGATTCTACCCCGACTTGAGTGTCAGAGCAAGTTCTTTTTTTTTTTTTTTTTTTTTTTTTTGTGGTGAGGCAACCCTTGGCTGACCTCACAGAATGCAAGGATCTTGTCATCTTACAATCCCTTATCAGCACCTGGTCTTCCTAGGTGGTCTCCCATCCAAGTACTAACCAGGCCCGACCCTGCTTAGCTTCTGAGATCAGATGAGATTGGGCTTGTTCAGGGTGGCATGGCGGTAGATCAGAGCAAGTTCTTAATTTTAGTTTCCCTTTTAAGAGTATAATAATCCATAGACCAATCCTCAGGGATTATGCCTCAGAATAAATCTTCTGTCTATATTTAAGTCTTTCATCCTTCAGAGGACATGCTATACAAATTGAAAAATAGTATATGTACATTTAACATTTTTTTCTACCATAATAATCTTCTTCACTTTTCTCTGCCTAAGTAAGATCTGATATTTCAAGTCTCATCTTAGATATCCTAGATGCTTCCCTTGACTGTACTCCCTAGTCAAGTGCCAGGAACCCATCTGTTATGCTTCCCTAAAACATAGTTAGCTCCGTAATACAAATTATCCTCGTACTTTCAGGTGGTCTCATCTCTGTCCCCATTTTTATACTCCTGAATCACTGCCTTTTTAGCTTTAGCATTTAGGAGTGGGAAGAATACACAGGGCTGGTCATGGTATATGCTGGGAGCAATGGTTGTTGGCATTTCAAAGTCTGGGATGGGCAAAGTCGTTTCAGGGATTCTGGCAGAACACTTTGTAGAAGGAGAGCCGAGAATCCTGGAATCTGGGCAATCAGTGGTGGCAACAAGATCCTTCACATAGCTAAGTCACACAAGCCCCAGAGGGCTCCTGAGACTGCAGGAATTCAGTTCTGGTGTGGCATAGGAGATGAAACTTGACTTGCTTTCAGGCCAGCCCCTCACTGATTCCAGAGCAGAGACCCATTACTTGTGCTCAAGTGAGATAAAATAAGGGTGAGTGGAATAGAACAAGAGAGCAGTATCACCCCTAGACCTAGGCAATAGAGGTGGTGGGGAGTGGGGGTGGCTTGGGGGTGTGTGGCTTTCCTGGGCCCATGCTTTGAAGCTCCTACTCTGATCCTCCTCCAACTTTGTTCTTTTTTGCAAAACAAGGAGTCCATGAGACCAAGAAGCCTATGCTTTCTGTGACTTTAAACCACATGCCACATATCCAGAACTCTAAAATTCTCTTCCTCAAATATTGTGAGCCAATTGCTAGGGCCTCCATGGCTTCTCTGGGTAGCTGGGTACTCAAAAGGCAGATGTGTGCAAGTGTGTGTGTGTGTGTGTGTGTGTGTGTGTGCGCGCGCGCGCACACACGTGTGTAGCTTGGATGTGTAGGCTGGGTTTTCTACACACATACTTATGAGGTGTGGAACAGGGTGGGGGTTTTGGGAGGGGAAAAGACAAAGAATGAATCAGGGACTTCTGGTTGTACTTTGTCCTGATGCACAAATGTTAGTGGAGATTGAGATATGAGCAGCTCTATCTTACTCATTTCTATGCCCCAAAGTATGGGCATTAGAGCTGACATTATTGAATGTTTAGTTTATCAGACTCTTAGTCAATAATATCCAAGCCACATCTGGTGACTGACTACACATCAAATAGTACCTGTAATATAGTATTCTACAAAGCAGGATACCGTTTAGTATAAAAATTCTGGCTCTGGAGTCAGATATGGCTTCTTTTTATTATTATTATTATTATTGAGGTAAAATTTACATAACATGAAATTAACTATTTTAAAGTGTACAATTCATTGACATTTAGTGCATTCCTAATATTATGCAACCATCACCTCTATCTAGTTTTAAAATATTTCATCATCCCAAGAGAAACTCTATACCAATTAAGCAGTCACTCCCCATTTCTCCCTCCCGCTAGCCTCTGGCAACAACTAATCTGCTTTATGTTTCCATGGATTTACCTATTCTAGATATTTCATATAAATGGAACGATATAATGCGTGACCTTTTGTGCATGGCTTCATTCATTTAGTATAATGTTTTTCAGGTTCATCCACGTTTTAGTATGTATCAGTACTTCATTATTTTCTATGATGAAATAATTTTTTGTTTTATGGATATGTCTTGGTTTGTTTATCCAGTCATCAGCTGATGGAAATTTGAGTTGTTTCTTCCTGTGGCTACTGTGAATGGTGTTGCTATTAATATTATGTACAAGTTTTTGTTTGAATACCTACCTATTTTTAATTATTTTGGATATATACTTAGGAATATAATTGTTGGGTCATATAGTAATTCAATGTTTAACTTTCTGAGGAAATGCCAAATTGTTTTTCACAGTGGCTGCACCATCTTACATTCTCAACAGCAGCGTATTAGGGCTCAGATTTCTCCACATCCCCACCAATATTTGTTATTTTCTATTAAAAAAAATTATAACAATCCTAGTGAGTGTGAAGTGGTATCTCACTGTGGTTTTTATTTGCATTTTTCTAATGATGTTAAGCATCTTTTTATGTGCTTGTTGGCCATCTGTCTATCTTCTTTGGAACAACGTCTATTCAAGTCCTTTGTTCATTTTAAAATGGAATATTTGACTTCTTTGCCATTTAGTTGTAAGAGTTCTTTATTTTTCTGGATACTAAACTCCTATCAGGTACAAGATTTGCAAATATTTCCCCCCATTCTGTGAGTTGCCTTTTCATTCTCTTGTAAAAAGAAAGCCAAAATTAATTTATTTTCTTGAGATATCTTTATGTGACTATAGTATTAGGATAATACTAGCCTCATAGAATGAATTAGGAAGTGTACCCTCTGGTTTATTTTCTCAAAGGGTTTGGGGACTGATGTTAATTCTTTAAATATTTGATAGAATTCACCAGTGAGGTCATCTGGTCCTGGTCTTTTCTTTGTTGGAAGGTTTTTGATTTTGAATTCAATCTCTTATTATAGTTCTGCTCAGATTTTCTATTTCTTTTTGAGTCAGTTTGGGTAGTTTATGTGTTTTTAGGAATTTTTCCATTTCATCTAGGTTATTCAACTTTTTAACATACAGTTGTTGATAGTATTCTCTTATAATCCTTTTTTATATCTGTAAGGTCTATAGTAATGTTTCCACTTTCATTTCTAATTTTAATAATTTCAGTCTTCTCTCTTGATAAGACAGTCATCAGTCTTGTTAAAGGTTTGTCAATTTGGGGGATGTTTTTCAAGGAATCAACTTTTGGTTTAATTAATTTTCTCTTTTTTATTCTCAATTTCATTTATCTCCACTCTAATCTTTATGCCCTTCTTTCTGCTAGCTTTGGATTTAGCTTACTCTTCTTTTTTTTAGTTCTTTAAGATGTAAAGTTGGGTTATTGATCTGTGGTCTTTTTTAACGTAGATGTTTATCACTATAAATTTCACTATTATCACTGCTTTTTCCATATTCCATAAGTTTTGATATATTATTTTGTCTTCAATCATCTTAAAGTATTTTCTAATTTTACTTTCAAATTCTTTTTTGACTCATTGGTTAAGAGTATGTTAATTTCTACATATTTATGAATTTTCCAGTTTTCATTCTGTTGTCAATTTATAGTTTCATTCCATTTTAGTCTGAGAAGATAGTTTGTATGATTTTAACCTTCTAAAATTTATTGATACTTGGTTTGTGGCCTAACATATGGTATATCGTAGAGAATGTTCTTTGTGCACTTGAGAAAAATACATATTCCACTATTGTTGATGAAGCATTCTAACTATGTCTGTTAGTTTTTGTTGTTGTTGTTGTTGTTGTTGTTATTATTATTTATGCCTACAGCACCTGGTCTTCCTAGGTGGTCTCCCATCCAAGTACTAACCAGGCCTGACCCTGCATAGCTTTTGAGATCAGACAGGATCGGGCTTGCTCAGGGTGGCATGGCCAGAGACTGAACAGATCTTAAGGGAAGTCAATTAAAAATGTTTAACTCTTGTGAGAATCAACTGTGCTTTAAATATAAGTAATATAGATTATGTGATATAGATATATGTGATATAGGTAAAATGACCAAACCAAGTTATACATAATACATTTTTTAACCTAAAATAAAGTGATATCTTGATAAGGAAATTTATACCCTTTAATTTTTTATAGCATTTAATTTAATTTTTCTCAAAAGTGTATGGTGAGTTTCATCACTTTTCTACCAAACTCTCTTATCTAAATTCTGTTATTCCAAGACCTGGAGACAGTTTAGGAGCTGTAAGCTGTTATAAGTTAAGTATTTCCCTGACTTTCCTTTCATGCTCTAAAATACATAAGCCTTTCTGATTGAGTTTTCCACACCACCCCTAGAAAACCAGCTGAGTTAGAAAAGAATAACTCACCTCCATTAAGCTCTATCATTGGGCCACCAGGGGGCAGAGGCAGGCACTTGGACTAGAGCTCAACAGGCCCAAGATGGCTCCGGACCAGGACCTGGTAGTTTACTAAGAATGAGCTCAGAGTATGAGAGAAGGAGGAAAAGTTCAGGAGCTGGGGAGAAGTGGCAAGGCCAGAGTGAGGTCTGGCAGATTCCGTGACAGTTTGTCAGTTGCTTGGATCATCATTAGCTTAGGAGAAAGAGAAACCCTGATTAGAATGGCCCACTCTTTTTGTGGGGGTGGGGGAAAGCAACTCATCTAAATTTGAGGCTGCAGTCTAATCTTAAGTTTCACAGATCTCCATTTCTGAATGAAGGTGCTCTACAAAAGAAGAAATAAACCTCATCATCTGCCTATAAGCCTGACGCATGAAAAATAACCACCACATGACTTATGATCCCATCATAGCATTGAGACACCAGCTAAGCGGCTTTAATAGAGAGCTATTCCACCTCTCAGAGTTCACATTCTATTGAAACAGCCCCTACTCTACGTCAGAAAAAGTAACAGATGCCTGGAAAACCCCAGGCACTAAGGAAGCAAGATGGGAAAAGCTTCATTACAAACAGCTTTATTCAGCAGTTTTAGCTCACAGAGATACATAGCTAGACTGCACTCCTGAGTGACCTATAAAGAGCCTTCATGGAATCAAACATCTATTCTTACAGTAATTCCTTCAACTCAGTATTTTTCTTGTCTAGCTCCTACCTAGCTGTCCAGCCTTCATGCCCACAACTCTTCTCCCAGTATTTGGGATTTCCCAAATATGACATGCTTCTGTGGCTTAGCACATGTTGTGCCTTCGGCTGGGGAGCATACCTTCCCTACCTCAATCATGATCTTTTCATTAAACCCTTCTGTAACCAGCCCCCTAAACATTACCCCCACTCCCATCCCTTGTAGAAAATATTTTGTTGGCTCTATACCAGAGTTTCTCAACTTCAGCCCTATTGACATTTTGGGTTGGCTAAGTATTTGCTTAGGGGACTGTCCCGTGAATTTTAGGATGTTTAGCAACATCTCTGACCTCTGCTCACTCGATACCAGTAGCATTTCTCTATTTGTGACAATCGAACATGCCTCCAAACATTGCTAAATATCTGCTGAGGGTATGGGGGTGGGACATAATTATCCGCAGTTGAGAAACACTACTTTACGTATTTATATAACACCTTAAATCTTTGTATATGCCTGTACATATTATTTTAATTGTTTAATAAATTTTGAACTGCCAAGTAATCCTGTGTCTTGCTCATCTGCACTGTACATAGCATTCATTAGATCAAATTCTTTATCAAATAAATGGCTATAAAATGCAGATGATCACTTAGAAACATGTCCCTATGTCAAAAAATTAATTCGGTTTCATCTTGAATATTTTTGTTATTTGCTAAAATGTTTAACAATGCTTAGTATAGATCATTGTACTAAATCCTGGAGTCTGCACGTTCTCAAGCCATTAGCCCAGAGTCGAAAATACTGGCCTAGAAGACAGAAACCTTGTCTCCTACCAGAGAACAGAGTAAACTTGGCTAAGATATTTAACTTCTCTAGGCATCATTTCCTCCACCTGTAAAATATAAATTCCTAAGATTCCCCTAACATCTGTAAAATTTGTGATTCCAAAACATATATATCAAGAGTTCTCAAATTTCACAAAGGGGCATTTCAAATTTTTATTTCAGTATTTAAAAATAAAGTTAGGGAGAGGCAGTGTACAGCGATATCTATACATACTAGCTTTTACCACATAATCAGTAAGGGGAAAAAGACAAAAACAAAGACATAAACCAAAGTTGCTTTTCTTTTCCAAGCCTCAATTTTACCATATACAAAATAGATATTATAATACCTACCTCATAGGATTGTTGTAAGGATTAAATGAGATGATATATGTGAAGAACTTAACAGTACCTGGCACATAGTGAGAATTCACTAAGTGGTAATAGCTATTATGATTCTTATTGCACTAACATTGGTATGGCAAATAGTTTACACAACTTCTGCTCCCTCCAATCAATTTTCTGTCTTGAAATACAATAAGAGATATAGGTAGCTATTAGTCTTCAAGGACTTTAGAGCTGAATATAAATTAAAAGTTCGATTTTCCGTCTTCTAGATTCCAAGGAAGTTACTGAGAAATCAGACTTCCTTTATGCTGCACCTAGCAGATATTTTCATCATAGCTTTTATTACACTGCATTTTTCCTTCATTGTATTATAACTATTTGTTTGCACATCTCTACCACACTAGCTGGGAGCTTCTTAGAGAAAAGGGCTGTCTTACTCATCTTCCTAACTACATGGGCCTATCACGCTATGAAAATTTAATAAATACCAGCTAACTGAGAGGATGAGTGAGTGAATTACTGAATGGCCCATGCCCAGCAATGCACTGCACCTTCCCTTTTCTGACTGGAAAATAAAGAAGCTGCTATTTCTGTGGCTTGGGCTTGTTCAGAAGAAAGAAAGAGAGAAGTTAGTTCTCTAACAGCTTTTTTCTCAGCAGGGAAGCCAAGTGGTGCAGATAACTGACTTCTTCTATCCTGTCACACCACACTGGCAATCCTTCTGTCCTTACTTTAGTGGATCAGTGCTGCTGGCAGAGCCACACCTGGGGCCACATGCCTTCGTGCCACTCTGAAGGAAAATGGAATATGCCCTGTAGGGTCTTTTTGCCTGCTGAAAGCTAAGGGGGCAGGAAAGGACCTGTATCACATGCTGCCATGATTAATGTCCCCCATACCATGATGGTTATCATGTTAGTGCTGTCTCTAAGTAGTCCCCAGGACATTGGAGCAAAAAAGATTTTCAAAAAGTCAGAAACCCACCTGCATAATATCATAAAACTGAACTATGAAATTGGAGCTGGAAGAAGAAAACTACATGTTTTACTGTCAAAACACTATGTCTTAACAAATGTCTAAAAATTGTCATAAGTAAGGTTGAAAGAATAGCCTGCTGTCCCTAACTATGAATACCTTGTTTAGAACTACCCAGTTGGACTCAACCCTGCCTACTTGGCTCAGATCCCAGCCCAGGCAGAGAGTACTGGAGGAGTCCAGGATTGTAGGGCACTAGAATAGAGGGACTTAGAAAAGCCTGTGACTCCCTGAGATTTTCTGTCCTTGGTCTTAAGTATCCATGAGGCTGTCAGAGAAGCCCAAGGAAGTCAGTAGATAAGAAACATTGGGAGTGAGTGTGCATTTGTGCAAGAGCTGCTGCTCCTTCCTGATCTCACTGCAGGGAAATTACTGCTTTAGAGACAGATACTGAGTTAATGATGTCATTGAAACCTAATTTACTTTATTAACACACCCTGGATAGTCATCCCAATACTCAGATTTTAATATCAAATGTGTAGGACCTCATCGACACAGCTAAAGAAAAGACCAAAAAGTTTATCGCTCAAAATGATTTTAGGTCTTGTAGAGTAACTTATATTTTTCTTGCAGGGGCACTTAACATTTGCAGTAAAGATGACTTCAGTGTGAGCCAGACAACAGAAACACCAGTCTTTGCTGAAAGATGGGTCTGACTCCCCTACTCAGCATCTCTCTCACCTCCTTTCTTAAACAGCTCAGTTTCAATCTGCAGTTGATGAAATCAAGACATAACTCCAGCTTAAGAAATTTGGCTTTCATTTGCTGCTGTTACCTCTCAGTGAAAACCAAGAAATGACAAATGAAAATTGCCAGGTTATCCCACTGCAAGGCTAAGTTGGCCTAAAGCTAGGTCAGGCATCAATGGATAAATTTGATTGTCCGCCTCTTCTATTCCCATTTCCACTCTGGCCAAAGAAGTTTCCGCTTTTCCAAAAAAGTACCTGAAAGCTAAATCCAAACAGTCACAGCTGCGCCCCTTGACTCCTATCATTGCCACTTCAGACCGACAACCATCTCCCAAGAGCTGCCATAGCTCAAAGGCTTGCCCAGCTCTGCAGACTGGGCTAAAATGAAACTGTTGGACTTCTCAGAGCAAGAGAGTACCAGTGTAGTACCAAATTCCTTAGACCAAGGTTACTTCATCCTTTTCCTTATACGTATCATAAAAATCACTTTTATTTTTAGAGGAAAATCAATATTAGGATCTTTCCTTCCTAATTTCACCTCCATAATTTCCCCCTCCAACTTTCAAACAGTATCTTCAGCCTTCACAGAGATCATGCTGAACCCTCAAGAATATTTCTCTGGAGGCTCTCCTCCTGAGCCATTAGTGGTTCCTTAGCACCCGTAGAATAAAATCTAAATGCCATAACACAGCAGACAATGCTTTGCTCATGATGTGGCTCTAATCCTCTGTTCTAGTTTTAGTTCTCACTTCTTCCTACAGCCATGTACAACAGTCAGCCACATTATTCATGCTAATGCACCCTGTAGCAGCTCCCTTCAACTTCTCTTACATTTTGTGGGGTTCTTGCTCTTGCCCAGTTGTATAACTTGACTGTCTGTGATGTGTGAAGTGCCTGGTACTGTGCCTGAAATACAGCTATTGCTTAAAAAATAGCAAATATCATTATTAATACCTTCTTGCTTCAATTCTTAAGAAAGAGGATATAAGTCATGCTGCCACTAAAACAACCCCTCGATCCCTGCCTAGTGCTTATACTCCAAATCTCTTATCAAATTTTCCTCCCTGATGAGTTAGGCCAAACAATGAAGTGATAAAAGTTGGTGTCCCCCAAACATATCTATGGTAAGTAATAGTAATCAGAACAGTGGTTGCATGTGGAGGTGGGAAATGACTAGAAGGGAGCATAGGGGAACTTCTGGAATGATGGAATTGTTCTGTATTTTGATTAGAGTGTTGGTCATATGAATGTATATATTTGCTCAAACTCATCTAATTATATACTTAATATCAGTACACTTTTCTGCTTGTAAAATTTATCTTAATTTTTTTAATATCAGAGTCCTCTCTATTTTTTTTCCTTAAAGCAGAGATCAAAAACTCAAATGTCTACATGAGCTTGGCAGGTAAAGTAAATATGTAGTGGGCTGGGTAGAATACAATAGGTACGGTCGAGGGCTGCTGGTGAGCTGGAGAGAATATGCTCTTTATCCTGATTACATGAACAATACATGCAAAAGCAGAATCTGTATTTAATAGGCACCTCGGGTGTTTTCGATTATTAGCCAAGTTTATATTACACTGTGCTATGTCACTGAGCAATTAATAGTCTCCAAAGTGGGATGCACAAGATAATCTATTAAAATGTAAGAAGATAATACTTAGAACTATTTTTTTTTTCATTTTCATGGTCTTTTTCTTCATTTCATTTTAGAACATACAAAAGAACCCACAGATGGGAGTATAACACATTTATCTTGCATATCCTGTGCCAAGTCAAGCAACTGAGGCTGTATAGGACATTCCAGAGAATGAAGTGAGTAGACAGACATAATGTAGGGATGGGCACTGTTCCATTGGCAAGACTGAGCCTCCATTGAAGCAGCAATGCTGCTACAACCATTGTAAGTAAGGAACAACCTTTACTGCACATTTCATTCTGAAGGAAAAGGAACGAGCACCATAGAAATAACACCCTCTCCATTTCTAAAGTACAGGCTGAATTGTGACTGCTAAGTGATTCTCTGCAAAAGAAAAAAGAGCTAATGTGTGTGTTTGGGGTGCAGGAGGGGAGGAGGTCTTCCCAAGGCCTGTGACCCAGCCAGGCTGCAGTAATGTGTTCAAAGAGAAAAGTAACAACTTGTTGATCAGCTGACCAATGTGATGGAAGGCAGGCACACCTGTAAAGCTAGGCTGACGGCAGTCCCTCTCTGGCTTGGCAGGTCAGAAAGCACAGACTCACAAAACTAGCCTAGCCAACTCCCCAGGCTGGCCTCAAAAGCCACTAGAAGTCCCAGCAGGACATGGTGCCTACCCATGGTAATACTCCGCTCCACCCTGCTGGTTGGACAGATAGTCAAAAAGGATTGACTTCCTTCCACTCCAGCAGAATCAGGAAATCCAGAGATACTCAGAGTCGGCACCCTGCCTGGTCCATTAATTAAAATAAAGGCTCCATTTTCCTAAACAAGACCCAATGTAACAGTTGTTAAACAAGAATGAAGTTTATTATCTCTCAAGTAAAAATCCAAACTTGTATTGTGGCTCTGGTTTGCAGAGTTGTCAGTCTCCCAACTTTCTTCAGTCTACTTTTTCTACCATCTCTAGGATGTTGCCCTTATTTACATGATCCAATGCCCACATGTGACCAATGAAAATTGATTACTATGAAAAAGAGAAAATTGCCTTGAGGACAACCACTGTCCCTGACTAACTATAACGACAAAAGTCCAGCTCTGCAACATGAAACCAAAGGAATCAAAAAGCAGTCTCATAGTCTGTGAGAAATGAGTTTTTCACACACTCTAGAGAGTAATTTTTAAAATGAGGCTTTTTGAGCTCAGAACATTGGATGCCAACAACCTCATAGTTTCTGCACAAGGACATAGAAAAATCCAGCCGGGGGTTTGTCCTGAGCAACAAAGCATACATCATATATAAATGCGGTGGTACTGATGGCAGCCAATTTTTTTCAAACAAACTGGGCACTTTTTAGTGTATTTAAGGGAACTGCAAAGGCACTGACTGCAGAAGATGTGGCCACATTCTGTAGAGTAGATGTGTCGTCTGCTCAGTTGAATCTCCGAGTACCCATCCATACAAATTCGGCACTGGATATAACCAGGTAGTGTGCAACTTAAAGTTTCTTCTTCCAGGGCATTATGGTAGGCACTGCTGATCACATATACATCTCTGTCCATCATCAACCCATTCTTATCACTGCTCGCCACACTGCTGCCAGTTTGGCCTTGGAGTAACCTTGTTTTTCTCCTTGGCCTCCTCCTTTCTCCAGTAATCACAACAGAGTCATGGTGAGTAAGGTCAATCACTGCAGGTTCTAGAGATTCAGATGTTAGGTCAACAACTTCATCACTTTCCCCAAGTTCTATCAGTTCTGCTTCCAAGACCGTCTCAGGAGTTGGCCCTCCCTCCCCAGCTGTACGGCATTCTCGGGCTTGTCTGGAATTCACCATGCTACCATAGCACATACTTGTATTCATTGTGCTTTTTGCATCCAGTCTTCAGAGAAATAAGTGATCTATGCCACAGTTTACAGTGAATGTTAAAGTCCTCAGTGTCTCACAGCTGTTAGTCACTCTCTAACTTAAATATGAGTTTAGAGCCCAAGTTTTCCAGTATATTTGAACTCTGATTCTGGTTCCAGTCCTGGTTGTGTCTTCGCAGGGGAGAGGGTTGTGAATCTTCTGTGAGCCACTTATAAGACAACTTAATTTGAATTTTTAACTGAAAAAATGAAAGATAAATTAAGCTTTAGTAATATTTAAAATAAGATTGAAAGTAGTATTAAATGTATAGCTATGTAGAGAAAAATGCATATTCAAAATTTTTTGATAGTCATGCATTTAAACAAAGGTTAAGCTTTTGTGTCCTTCCTCATTCCATGTCCTGATGGTAGGGGGGAAAGCAGAGCCAAAGAGGCACTTACAGGAAGAGAAAACACACAATCACAAACACCTTGAAAGGGTCACGACTTTATTCAAGACCCATTACGAGGAATTCAAGAAAACAATTACTTTTTACAAAGTAAGAATGGAGAGATCAACAGGCACAATTGAGAGTCTAATGGCAAGTAAGAGGGGAACCATTTAGTTCATGCAGAAGTTCATCCTGCTCAGGATTCCCATTCTAACAGAGGCAGCAAATGGAGTTTTGAAGAGTTTTATCCCAAATTCTGTTCTGGAAAAGAGGGGATGGAGTTCAAGCATTCATCATAGAGACTTGGTTTGAATGTAGTCTCTATGACTTTCGGGTTCATGACCTACACAGTTAAAGTTCTCAAAACCTCAGCATGTAAATCCTTTTTAAAAATTATTTTGTAATTTTAAAATAATGTATCATTAGTCATTAAGGAAATGTAAATCAAAGCCATAAGAGATACCATTTCACATCTACTAAGATGGTTATAAGAAAAAAGATAATAAGTGTTGGTGAGGATATAGAAAAATTGGGACTCTCATATACTGTTGATGGGAATGTAAAATGGTGTGACAGCTATGGAAAACAGTTTGACAGTTCCCGGAAATGTTAAACATAGAGTTACCACTCCTAGGTTTATACCTAAGAGAATTGAAAACTTATGTCCACACAGAAGACTTTTACACAAATGTTGATAACAGCGTAACTCATAACAACGAAAAGTAGAAACAACCCAAATGCCCATTAACTGATGAATGGATAAACAAAATGTGGTATATCCATACAATGGAGAAATTATTCGACAATAAATATAATATGGGTGACCTTTGAAAACCTATTAAATGATAAGCCAATCACAAAAGACCACGTACTATATGATCCCATTTATATGAAATGTCAGTAACAGTCAAATCCTTGGGGAGAAAGGTAGTGACTGCTCATGTGTACAGGGGTTTTTGGGGGTGGTGGCGTAAACATTCTAAAACTGAAGTGACTGGTTACACAATACTGTGAATATACTAATACTCACTGAATTGTGTATTTTAAGTAGGTAAATTGTATGGTTTGTGATTATAGCTCAATAAAGCTTCTGCCAAAACAAACACATGCTGCCATAGAGATATTAGACAAAACAGTGTGACGTCATCTGGATTTAGACCTTAGCCCTAGAACCTGGTTGAGGAAGTGTGGAGTGCGAGAGGAAAATGGGATCAGAGCGGAAGAGGGCGCAGTGCTGAGCGATCCACCGGATGCGCTGACCTACTTACGAGGCAGTACTTTTCTTGAACTCCATAAACACCTGCCTCTCACCAGACCACTACCCTCAACGATATATTTGCTTTTTGTGACCTGCCTGCCCCTCCTCTTTCGCGCGGTGCCTAGGTAAAGTGAACTCTCCGGGACAAGCCGGGGAGCCTGGGAAAGCAGTGCCTACCACCCCACCCACGCCCCTAGCAATCCATCAAAGACCCGCCCTTCCTAGGAAGCTATCCAGCGAGAACAGAGCAGGAAGCGTGCGCTGCAGCTGCGCGCCACTTGCCAGCCTCTGTGCTGCTTCCCGGTCCTGTCCAGACCCGGCCTGAGCGAGCCGAACCTGGACTGGGAAGAAGAACGGAGAAGTCACAGGGCCAGCGAGAGCTGGTAGATAGAGGAAAAGAAACAGAGGGAAGGGGCGGCGCGGGAGCCAGTACACACCTTGAACGCGGCAGGCTGGCGGCGGTGCCCAGCGAAGAACAAAGCCAAGGTCACGAAGCGAGGAGTTGCGGCCCATATTCCCACCAACTGGGTCGCCGAAGGCACAGGAGTTTTGCCTCCTTCTAACCGTCAATTTTAGTTTCCCAACTGCCAATCAAAACCCGAGCCCGGCATAGTTCGTCACCGGTCTCTGGGCAAAAAGTGTTGTTCCAGGATAGAAAGAGGGACTTCCGTTCTTTAGTTTCCTCTTTCTCCAAAGTCTTATGCTTTCCGAGAAAGCGGACAGGGAAGGGTTGTAACGGGTTTTTTTCCCCCCTTTTCACCTGGTCGTTAGGTCAGCAACTCCCCACTCTAGAAAAGTGGTTCTCAGTGAAGGCAGTATGCCTCTCAGAGAGACGTTTTATAAATTAATAGAGCTACTTTAGGTTGTTCCAATAATGAGATCACTAGAGGTTATTTAGGGGCTGAGCGCCAGGGATCCCAGAGTGTACACACACGCACGCGCACACACACACACACACGATGTATGGAAAACCTACTTATAACGTGGGCTTTACAGACGCATGTAAAAACTTGTTTTATTTTTCAATTATTTTAATTTATTCCTTGAATTTATTGACCATCACTATACCAGGCCCAAACACACTGACTTTTCCAGGAATGTAACTACCAAAGGAAAATGTGTTTTGGGGTTTTTGTTTGTCTTTGGAATTTTACCTAGAGAGTTTCACATTTCAGAGAATCACATCACAGCCAGCAATACAGTATCTGAATCTGAGCCATCAATATAGTGCAACTCTCAGTCTTCAACGGCATGGTTCTGTTAACCAAAGAAGAGGTTTAGGCTGTGATAAACAACAATTAAAAAAGCATTTATCTGAGCAAAAGGATTGCAGTCTGAGAGCAAATTCAGGCTGCAACTCAAACTTCACTCTGGAGAAAACAAAGGCAGGGTTTATAAAGGCAAAAACCACAAAATGTAATTCTTTCATGCATATGAAGGATTGCTAGCTAGGTTAACAGGGATTGGTTATTACTTCCAGTATGCAAGCAAAAGAGGTGAAAACTATAAGGAAGGAAGTAAAATGCATATATGTCCATGTAGCAGTTGTTCCAGGATGCTTCTGGCTTGCTAACCTAAAAATCAAAGGCCTTTCAAAGAGAGAGGCAACAAGCATTTATTTGAGATTTAAAAAAAAAATAGCTTTTTGGGATGCACTGATTCAGACAGAAGCACAAATAATGTTCCAGTTAGGAGACAAAGGCAATGGCTATTTATGAGAAAGGGAAGGGGAACAGTTAGTGGATGGAAGGCATTTCTATTGGTGCAGATAACACGGTGATGCTAATTCTAAACAATGTTTTTAAAATGGAGCTCCAACTCCATTTTAAAGTGGCTCCATTTATTCATTTTGACAGGCTCCAGGATGTTTTGATCTGAGTTTAGCAACAGGTTTAGCAACTTAATAGCAACCCTGGGAACTGAGGCACAAGATGTGCATTGGCCCCACTTCCTTAATAGCCGCCTGTTTCTATTTTAAGTGATGCTCTTATCAATAATTTATTCCATTTTATTTTCCCCATTACCAATCCACAGAGATCCTGAGCCAGTTGCAAGCATCTGGCACCTTTTTATACCAGCCAATGCAGCCAGACTAGAGCATTCACATACTAAATTGCCTGGTTTTCAAATTAGTAAAAGGGGCACCATGAAACAGGAGGTGTTGGGGGAAAGAGGGGCCAGTGGGTGCTGGATCTCATCGAAGATGAAACTTCTCATCTACACCGGAGTCCTGGAGACTGTACCTACCTCTGTCTACCAAGCCTGAGCTTGAGTACTGACACCCTATCCTAGACATCTAGCAGATAAGGCTATATTTCACAAGTGACCTGCTTACTGTGACGTCATCAGTTAGTGGTCAAGAGCCCTTCATTTTATAGATAAGGAAATTGAGACTTGGAAAGGTTAAAAGATTTGAAAGAGTATGAACTGTGACAGAGGCAAGACTTGAAGCTCCTGAAAATGCAATTAAACTTTGTGAATTCTTTAAGCAAAACCATTCCCAGAAATCCTGAGACTGCCAGAAGAGAGCTCTGCCTACATGCTTACCTTGGGAGGAACTGTCCAGAATGAGAACCATCTTTTACTGAAAGCCCTTTAGGAAAAGAAATTCTACCATAGTAGTTTTTCTTTTCTTTTTTTTTTTTTTCCTCACCAGCTCAGTGCCAAGAAGTTTTCCCTTGCTATGATTTTAGATTTTGTTCTAGTGAGCTATGAAAATGAAGAACCACTGAAAGTAAAAGCAGTTACCTAAAGCTTTACATTTTACAGTGCCCTTCTTATCACTTTCCCTTTGTCAGAACAACCTTGGAACAGTGCCTGGCACAGAAAAGACATTCTATATTTATTGAACAAATGATTAAATGAATAAATGAATAATCTTAATGATGTGGGAATAATTATTCCATTTTGTGGATATAGTGATGAAGAGTCAATCCAGGAATATGACTTTTCCAGGTTTTTTTTTGTGGAGTTAGGATTCAAACTCAGACAGTAATGACTTTTCCCATTCCTTTTGTGAAATTAGGATTCAACCTCAGGTCTGAGTTCAGTGGAATTCACATTTTAATGCTAGCCTCGTAGACTCTTTGAACTTTTAATGGAAGTTTGGGATGGCATGTGTCATAGGCCCAGCAGAGGATATTATCAGGAAACTCACAGTAGCAGACTGATGCCCCACCCCAACTCTATGAGCCCTCACCAGCTTTTTCATATTTTGCTGCTAACAACTAGCACCTGCATATTACTCTCAGGCACCAAAATGAGCTGGAAGTACCTGGGAGTTTTGTGTTTCACCTCACTTCACACTCCTGGGCAGCCTGTAGCCTAAAACAGAACAATATAGAGTACCAAAACCCAGATGTGTTCTTTGATCTAGGGCTCCCCATGGCAACAGGCTGAGTGTGGGACTTCTGAAATCACACTCTCGCCTGGCTTCTTCCCATTCCCTAGCCTTCATCCTCTACTCCCTTATCGGTTTCTCCTGGAAACCCTTTCTCAATAAGTCACTTGCATCCAAATCCTTGCCTCAGGGCTGCTTCTGTAAGAACTCAACCTAAGACTCTCACTGACTCTTCGGGTGATGAAAATGGCATGCTACAGATACCTAGAAAACCATTTTAAATGACACTATAGCATTGTCTGTCAGCAAGAATCTTCTGTTTTTTCCTAACTGAAACAGTAAAAAGAGGAAGTGGCTTATGGGGGAGGGGAAGCTGCACATAACTGTGGCCTTGGGTTGGGCCTGTGTTCTGTAGAAATAAATACTTCCTCAGTTTCATAGTCTTTTCAATCATCTCTGTTGTGGAGGACCAAAGAAGAAAAGTAATTGTGCATGCAACTAATGAGAAAAGATGTACAGAATTTACTATATAGTAAGGGCTGGATATGTGATCACAGTTATTTTAAATTTACTAGTTTTTATTTCCTATCAGCCCTTCTTATAGCTCTCCAAAGTATCAGAATAGTGGGGTTTTTTACACAAAGTTTCAAATCAAGGTACTCACAGATACTTTATTCATTTTAAGATACCTGGCACCCAAATGTTAGTCTTCAAATTTTTTTCTAAAAGCCTGGAGGCCAAGGAGAGAGAAGGTGAATTTTTGCCCCTAAAACCTTAATGGCTACATCACAGATAAAAATATTTATCTTATTAAAGAAAGATCTTGAGTTTTACCTCAACAGTTTACAATACGAAAAAGACAAGTAAAAAGTGACAGCCCGAAAATATTGAGAGTGGTTGTTGATGAAAACTAGAAAAGACAACATTTGTCAGTTCTCTGTGTAGTTTTCACTTACACCATGTTTTAATTAGGGATGGTGAAAAAAAATAGACAAAAAAATTATTTTAAAGGATTCAAAAATAAACAATAGTAACAGTAACCATTTTTTAAAGTATATAATAAAAAATTTTAAGTCTCTTGAAAAGTTAAACACCAAAATGAACACTAAGTGATCATCTCTGGGTGGTTGGGATTAACAAATTTTCTTTTCCTTTCTGCCTATATAAACTTCCTAAAAAAATAATGAACATATACAAAAATAATAAAAGTTGTAACACTTGAAATCACATGCTGTCTTTCTCTAGTGTCCTGGACCTTTCTAAATTCTCCTAAGAGAGGCATTATAAGGAAATGCAAGTACTAAAGACTAAATTGTAAAAAACAGCCATAACATAAAGGGGTGAGTGATAGATCCACACTGAGAAAACCCAGAAGGATCTGAAAGTGATAATCTCTATCATAGGAGATCGCAAAGGTTTATGATATTTTTCCTTATTTTCATTATTCGATGATGACAATTTTAAAACAATTCTACAATCAATTTTCTAAAAGAAAAGTTTTATATATCAATTACCCAAATAATTCTTCAAATGATCAATTTGCCTGAAGCTGAGAAATAGCTTCCTTCAGCTCCTTCACTAATATAGTCTGGGGTGAGACTGGCCCTCTACTTGGGGGAGTGAAGCAGTCTTGTGGTTTCCAGTCTACTTCCATTTGGCCAGGCCATGGCAGGTAATGGTTGGCTCAGCTGCCACATTTCCCAGTGTTTAGGGCCTAACACGGGCTCCACTATTGGCCATGGTAAGCAGCAGGAGGGAAACACTTTTTAAGGTCTGAGCCTATCCTGTTTCATTCATCTACTCCTCCACTACTCCCAACCCCAAATCCCTCTATGCCACACACTCATATGGGGTTTCAGGATAATGTCAACTGATATTCAGCAAAGTACCTTTAACAAATTAATTTTCCAAGAGACTAGTCAGCTTTTTCTTCTTTATTTATCCCTTACCAATCTCTTGAGTAACCACTAACAAAAATTTAGGGCATGACTTTCCAGACTCGCTTTTGTGCATGATATAATAATGCATGGGCTTTTGTGCATGATGTATAATGCATGGGCTTTTTAATGGCTTATAATATATATATTCTAGAAATTACTTTTTTTTGCTTCAATGATTTAGCATTGGTATTCTATGTCAGTATATAATATCTAATTCTTTATTACTGACTTACGTTTAATTTGCATTGCACAATTATATTTAATAAGCACAATTAAGCTCCAATATTCTTCTTTGATCAATCTCTTCTTCTGAAATAAGGAACTAAGCCATGCTCCAAAGGAGCATTACATTGGACCATCAGCCAGCAAAGCAAGTTTCTCACAAAATAGTTCTGTTGAATGACACAAAACAGAAAATCCCTTATAATTTAACTCAATCGGTATCAACTTTGGATATACATTAAAACTATCTAGAGATTTATTTAGAAACTATGCCATAAAACTACATGCCCACACAAAAACCTGCATGATATCTGTATCAGCTTTATGCATAACTGCCAAAATTTGGAACAAACCACTATGTCCTTCAGTAGGTGAATGGATAAATTGACTGTAGTTATACCCAGACAATGGGATATTTACTATTCAATACTAAAAATAAATGTGCTATCAAATCATAAAAAGATATGGAGAAATCATAAATGCATATTACTAAGTGAAAGAAGCCAATCTGAAAAGGCTATGTACTGTATAAGAACAATTATATGACATTCCGAATAAGGCAAAACTATGAAGACAGTAAAAAGATCACTGATTGCCAGGGATTGGGGGATATGTTTAGGGAGGTGAAATACTCTGTATGATACCATAATGATGGAAACATGTTATAATACATTTGTCTAAATCCACAGGATGTACAACACATCAAGAGTAAACCATAATATAAACTCTGGATTCTGGTGATATGTCATTGTAGACTCATCAGTTGTAACAAGTTTACCACTCTGGTAGATGTTGATAATGGGGGAGGCTAGAACTGATGGGGGTAGGGAATATGTGGGAAAACTCTGCACCTTCCCCTCAATTTTGTTCTGAACCTAAAACTGCTGTAAAAGCATAAGGTCTTAAAATTTTAAGAAATATTAATACTGATGTCTGGGTTCCATACCTAGAGACTGTGATTTCATTAATCTGGATTGCAGCCTGGAAAGCTGTTGTTTTTTTTGTTTGTTTGTTTTTTAAATAGATTTTATTTTTTAGAACTGGCATTTTTAAAATAAATTCCTCAGGGGATTCTAATATGCATCCAGAGTGGATAGTTACTTGTCTAAGTCACCCCTTAATCTCAGCTAGTTCCTACAACTCTTCTCCCGGGTACCCTTGCTCTGTTTGTAATTACTCACACCTATCATATCTCTATACTAATCGTGATTTGACCCGTCTGAAAACTCCAGGCCCCACTTGTGCTGAGAACCACTACCCGTCAAGCAAATGGCCTCCCTAACACCTATCAAAGGTTTTTGTTGTTTGCTGGACATGCTTTTCTATCATCTAGTTCTTTGGGCCTACCTATGCTATACTCTTTATCAGGACATATTTTAATTGAGTACATGTCTGCCCCTCCACTAAACTGTCAGTACCTAGCACTAGCTAACTCAAATTCTTGGTCAGATAAACAAATGCACAAAACTAGTCATCGTGTATAAACTATGCTTTGAAATTTTAATATCTAGTATTTTTCACTCAAAATATATCTACTGCTTGCTAAAATATGAAATCCTCCAGATACTTTTGCTCCTTCTTTGAGTATACACATTCCTCATGTCTTGGCCCGGGGAACAGAACTCTGGCTAAAAGATGGAAGCCTCGTCTTCCAGTAGACAGTTGTGTCACCCTAAGTCATTTAACTTCTCTGGGATCTTATTCCTCATCTGTAAAATGCAGATCTCTGAGGCCCCTTCCACCGTGAGCCAAACCCTATATACCAGAGGTTTACACTCTTCTTCAAGTGACACTTGAAGACTGTTTTCCGGTTTGAAAACAGAGGGGCAAGAGAGGGAGAGATATATAAGAAACTGAACACATCAAGTTTACCATTATTTTAATCAGTGAAGCAAAAATATCAAAATATGTGCAATACAACTGGCGTACTGGTGGTTCTCTGACAGAATTCTCGCCTGCAACATATGTGCCACACAAATATGAGGTAAATGTGAATTTTATATGAAAATTCTTTCAATCCACTATAATGATTTTCCAATAATTGACAATTTTCTTTTAAAAACTATTTCCAAAAATTCTAAGCAAAGTATGCAAACTGGAGCTTAACTCTAAACATGCACAATGATCTTATCCAATTTTGTATGCAGAATACTAAAGAGTTCAGATTAGACCAAGATGATGATATTGAACATGAGAATTCCCTCCTTCCCACCTCTAAACTTCTAGCAACCTGCTACAGCTACCTACCCACATGCATCAAATATGAAGACATAGAGCCCAAAGTAGAATTATAAAGGTATTTATGTTAACATCAATATATCTTCTCAATTTGTGTACATAAAGCATACTAGCATATAAGTATTTAAAAAAAAAAGAAGAAACAATTTGGAATTAGTCCAATTTAAATGAGGCATCTTCAAACCTGAAAAAAAAAAGAAAGAAAAAACGTCTTGTTAACAAATATACTTATAATTTGGATTACAGATTGTTCCACCCAACTTATCTAAGTTCTGTGTACATCACCATTCATAAAAGAAGTAGCTGCAGACAATTTTCCAAATCCATTACAAAGAGCATGTCCCATTAGTTTATTCCACTGATTCTCCTATAACCTTAGAGGAAAGAATGCTGGTATTCAAGTTGAGATCCTGGCTCTACCATTTAGTAACTGTGATTCTGGGAAGGTCAGCCAAATTCTCTGATGCTCTCTCGAATTAATTTTCCTATCCTTGAATATAACAGGAAATTTGAACAGGTTTTTAGGACTAAGGTTCCCTGCAGAGCAGAATTTCATGAAAAAGCTGGATTTTCTACATCTGATTTCATCCAAAGATGCAGAGAAGTCCAATTCCTCCCTATTTCATGCTGCTTGAGCTCCTTGTAGATATGTCCATTACAGTATCTTTGCATTAAAACAAATCTGTTTCTATCTCTCCTCTATTGGACTGGGAGCCTCTAGAAGGCAAGCGCAGTGCCCACACGCTAAAGCTCAACAAGAGATTGAAGGAATGCGACATCTGTAGAACCATGTCACTCCTCTCTTGTGACTGAATAATAAGGCAACTTATGCAAAAGAAGAGAATGGTTCACTTTTGAAGGCTCAGAGGTGCCAAATATAGAAATGGCAGAAGATCAAACCCTTGCACGTGGTGTGAATAACCAGCTGCCTCTGTCCTGTCATACCACACTGGCAGCTCCTCTGACTTCATTTAGAGGGCCAGTGATGCTGGCAGAGCCACAACTGGGGCCACACACCTTCCTCATGCCACTCCACAAGAGAAGGGAATGTCACCCCATAGGATTCTTCTCTGCCTGCTGAAATGCTACTCTGATTAATGTCCTCCACATACTGAGGGTTATTAGCACTATCTGGAAATAGTCCCCAGGATAGTGAAACAGAAAAACATTTTCTTAAGGTTAGAAACCCACCTCCATGATGCTGGTTAGTTGTTTCGATCTATAAAAAAGAAAATGGGGAGAGAAAAGAAAAAGAGTTTTATTTTAAAATACCATATATTAACAAATGTCTAAAACTGTCATAAATAAGGTTGGCAGCATAGTCTGCTGTCCCAAACCATAAATACCTTGTTTAGAACTACCCAGTAGGACCCAACCCTCCCTACTAGCCTCAGATTCCAACCCAGTCAGAGCGTACTGGAGGAGTCCAGGATTGTAGGGCACTAGGATAGGACTTACAAAGGCCTGTGCCTCCCTGAGAATTTTGTTGGTCCTAAGTATCCATGAGGCTAACAGGGAAGTCCAAAGAAGCCAGTAGGTAAGAAACTTTGGGAGTACGTGTGCCTTTGTGTAAATGCTATTGCTGCTCCTTGCTTCTGCCACTGGAAAACTACCATTTCCGGGACCATGCTATGCAGAGGTCTCAGAAGATGCCACTGATCAGAGCTTTAATAACATTCCCTGACTATGCCATTATGCTTGCTATCTATCTATCTATCTATCTATCTATCTATCTATCTATCTATCTATCTACCTATCAAAGCCTCCTTATGCTGTGGCTATACTCAGATACGACTGTCAGCAACTAAGGAAAGAACTTGAAAACTTACCCCACTTAACCATATGGGGCGCAGCGAGACTGCTGTGATTCACACGGCAGCTGTACTCATCCACTGTACTGGGAGTGAAATCTGTGTGGACCAGAAGATAGAACGACCAGTCCTTGCTGAAAGACAAGTCTGACTGCTCCGTTTTCATCTTCTGTCCATTCTTCAGCAAATCAATTTCAATCTGAGGTGGGTGGAATCCATAGACATAGCAGTTCAGGTAATTTGGCTTTCCATTCTCTGCTGGATGCCGTGAGTAAACCTGAATCTTTGGAGTACCTGAGGAACATCAGGGAAAGACAAATGAAAATTGTAGAGTATTTCACTTGGGGCTACCATGGTCTAAAGCTTGATCAGGCACCAATTGTTTAAATTTGATCATATATTTCTCTCAATTCTATTTCCACTCTGGTCAAAAGAGCTTCCACTTTTCCAAAAGGCTACCTCCATTTTGAGGGATAAACCATGACTTAGTATATTTCCCATATAATTCCCCTACATGTGTCTTTTTGGCTTTTTCTAGAAGATTCCTAGTAATATCTTCTGTCACTGGAGATTGTACCGAATCTTTAAGAACCTTTCTGTGGAGGTTCTCGAGAACTTATGATGGCTTCTTAGCACCAATTAAATTCTTTAAGACATCACTGAAAGGTCTACATGATTTTGCCCCAATCTACTTTTCAGACTTCATTTTTTACTTCACACATTCTTCACAGTAGCCACATCAAAAAACATGTTTTTGTACTCTGTTTCAATCTGGTCAATTTTTTTTTGTTTGTCTGTTTACTCCTTTCCTTTTTGGTTCCTGCTCCTGCATAGATTGATACCCACCTGACTTCTCAAAAATGTATTAAGTATCTAGTACAGCGCCTGGCACTCAGCATTGTTCTGTAAGTGGCGGATGTCGTTATTATCTCCTTGCTCAGTTTCCTAAGAGAGTCAACCCAGGGTACGTTCCTACAAAATAAACCTCTTCATTCTGCCCAGAGGTTAACGCCAAACCCCTATCTGATTTTGTGCCTGATTTCATGAGTTACAAGACTCAATTGCCTACAAAAGCAGGCAAACAGCTTAAATGAATGAGTTGGGCTCGGTCAGAACAATAGGAAAGGGTGAAGACTCTGGCAAAGGGGAGAGAACATACTCTTCATTATGACCAAGTAGAGTAATGCATAAAAATGAGATTTGCATTTTAAATTAGCACCCTAAATGATTCCTATAACTAGCCAGGTTGGGAACACATTGCATAATGCTACAGAGCAGTGGTTTCCAAAAGGGGATGCATGACTAAATCATCCCTGTGGATGTAGAAAGAAAATATAAACTCTATTTCTATATTTTTCATCCAAAATGAAGAGAAATGTTGCTGCTACTAAATATACAGACTGACGCTAACATGTGTATAATTCACTTTAAAATACATATAAATCAGAGTACATGATTACTACAGGGCAGCTGCTCCTCCATGTCTAGGAGGTGGTGGGGAGGAGGTGGAGTACCAGGCCACTCTGACAAATTAATCCGTCTAGAAATACCCTATCATCAAAGGAAAAGTCATCAGGAAAGGAAATACCCAAAGACAGGGGATCCCAATGTAGCCCTGATTTTCCCCCCATAAAGTTAAAAGTGAAACTAAATCAGAAAGCTCTTTTGAACTTCTAATAATTAGAGCATAATAAATGCCACAGGAGTTACAGCAAAGTTCATCCAGCCTGGAATTTGCCCTTTGAAGGAGCCAGGTGGAGTTTTGCAAAGACATCATGAAAACCTCTTCTGAGAAGGAGAGTATCAGACAGGCCTGGATCTGAATCTGGACTCAGCCACTTACTGGCCCTGTGACTTTGAGAGTTATTTAAGCTTCTGAAACTTACCTGAAAAACTCAGTGAAACAAATAAAACCCACACATGAGCAGGAAATGGACCCCCAGAGGCAATTGCTGTTACCCATTTCTTGTGTATTTTCCAGAAATGGTCTATGTAGGGCACATATTACTTTGGAAATTTTCAAATTTAAGATTTTTTAAAATGTCAGCTTGTTATTTTTCAAAAGGCTTCTATAGTCAGCAATACATATTAATGGTGATGACAAACAATATGCTTTATTTTGTTAATAAATTAAAAATTAAATTCCTTTTTCTCAAAATCAAAACATACTTCAAAAAGGCTTTTATGAGAGGAAAAATGAGAGGTTCCTGTATATTGCGGGGTATTTGGAATGTGCTTAGTGTCTGTCCATGGAGACCCAACGGACAGCCTGGGTCTCCCTTATGATTACCCTTCACTGATTTTGCAACCTCTAATAGACTTTGCTCGGCTTTTTCGAAACTGAAAGTAGAGGCTCAATTCGTCTTGGAAAGAACCAGGCAAGGAGCCAAAGAGGAAACCCTATGTGAAGAAAAGACAACAGGGGCCCATGGCCGCCCAGCTTGTTCGAGACAATCTTACACCCGAAGGAGGCGATTCTAAAACACGCAGATTACAGCCCCAAGGCGCACACCGCTGCATAATGCCTTGTTCAGGTGCCGCTGTCCGCCATTTATTCCCTGCATGAATAAATTACTTAAACTCTCGGTGCCTGTTTCCTCATCTGTGAGACGCTGCTGGTAACCATCATATTTACATATTTACATCGTAGGCATATTTAAGAAATAAGTGACATTAAAGCACAGAGTCCGCGCCACAAAGTTGTCAAAAACAGGTAGCTCTTATGATTATTAAAAGTGACACGTAATGGGAATAAGTGCGTTAATGATGTGAAATTGCTCCGTAACACTTCAGAACAGTTTAGAAACGTCGTGTACTGATCCCTCGCCACGGTTGGATCCTACATTTACGCAGAAGCCCGGAGGGGCAGGTGAACAAGCTGGCGCTATGGCGAAGCCGGAAGCCCTCGGTTCCGAGAAAAGCGGAGTCAACGCGGACTGATTTACCCCGAGGGGTGTTGCTCGCAAAATCTAGATGTCTTGTCTCCACCCATTCACAGCCCCCAACTCCGCGCCTTTGGGACCCGCCTACGCTCCTTCCCCTCCAGTTGCGCACAGGGAGCCAGAGGTCCTGAGAAAGAGCGGAAGAGAAACCCTCCCTCACCCCGATCGCTTTGAAGCTCATCGACACCCGAAACTTTGTCCCGACCCACGCAGCCCAGGCTTGTCAGAGGTCTCTCCGGCCCCCGCCCCCAGAGAAAGAAGAAAAAAGCTTGCGTCCTGAGCTCGCATCTCCCACCCTGTCCCTGTCCCGGGACCGAGGGCTAGTCCCCTGGCCGGGAAAGAGCACTTGGGAAACCGCAGTGTTACAGAGTTAGTGCCGAGAGTGCCAAAGAAGGTGGGGTCCAGGAGAGGAAGGGCTAGCTAGCGGAGGGGACACTCACGCGGCTCGCCGTCTAGGCCAGAAAGGAAAAGCAGCGCGAACAGGGCCAAGGTCACGGGGAGAGCCATCGCTACCAGAGCAGCTCCGAGCGTCCTACTGCACTCCTGGCCGCGCGTCTGGGCTTATATTCCACGCGTGCACAGCCAATCAGAACTCTGCGGGCGGGGGCCGTCACCCGTCTCCTAGCGGACGATGCTGCACCAGGTTAGAAAAGGGACTTTACACTTTTAGTTTCATTTTCCTATAAAGTCTCGTGATGCTTAAGAAGGCATGGATTGGACGGGGTGGGTTCGCTGTCTGTAAATCGGCGCCCTCCAATCTGGAGTGCACCCCCCCCATCTGGGGTGAGCTTGGGGCGCTGACCGCCCGCCCATCCTAGAACTTCAGTCTGGACGCACTTCGGTCCAGCGCACACGCTTTTTGAGCCAACCGCAGAGATGCTAAGTCACTTGCTTACCATGCCTCCGCCAGTTAGGAGCCTGGAACCTGCGGTTTTCATTTGAACAGAACCGAAGCGCAGAAAGATTAGGTTCGTGAAGAGAGGTTAAACGGTGCGGGGCAGAACTGTAGGTTTCTGGATTTGGGGCGGGGGGAAAGAAAAATAGTCCAGGAACCTCGAGGACCCGGGAGGACAGATCAGGGAAACGTCGGTAGTGAACGAGAAACTTCCTGCTAACTGAATTCCTTCAGGATAAAATGTCCTTTTATAAAGCTCTGTGTCAAGAAATTCTCTGTATCCTCCCTCTGTTGTTTAGGTGATTTTCTTTGTTTTGTTTATTTGTGGGAGAAATTAGCACTGATAGTAAAAGCAAAAACTGCTTGAGCTTTAGAGTTTACAGACCCCTGTAATCACTCCCTGTGAGCTACCACACTAGAATGCTGCTTGGCGTATTTTGTAAACTGAACGAATGATTGAAGGAACAAATGAGGGAGCGAATACATAAACTCTAGGAGATAGGAATTATCTCATTAATTTTTATGGGCAGTGAAAAGAGAGGCTAAGAGACTAGGATTCCAACTCTGGCCTAATTCATTGCTTACAACACTTGTAAAATAAAGGATGTAGCAGTTTCAGTGAGAATTTAAATTGCATCTGTCCTGGGCCCGGCCAAAGAAGTTAAACCTACTGATTATGAGGGCATGACAATATCGGGTCCATTAACAAAACCTATACGCTGGAGATACCATAAAGAAGATGCTGCCATCACATGGCGCCTGGATCCAAAGGTCTCTGAGTTTAACAGTGAGAAGAGGAAATGAAACATGGGGGCGGGGAGGGGCAGAGATCTTGGAAATCACCCTGGTTTTCAGTTGAATGCAGTACAACAAATGTCTTTTGGATTTTTCACAGATTTTCAGACCTTTTAATAATCCCTATTGTAGAGGCTATGGCTAAACTAGGAAAAGAATATTCTCTACAGACCTAATAAAATGAGGTAATGCATAAAGAGAGCTTCACACAGTTCCTAGCACATAGCCACTGTCTATAATATTTACCAAGTATACTATAATTACTGTTATTATTTACCTCGTTTTTCTACCAGCTGTATCTATAACTCTTGTAAGATAGAAATAATTTTTTATGCATAAATTAATGAGTAGAGACATTTCTGCCCCTCCCATTTGTCTGTATGCTGGTTTTATAATTCGGTCATAGCTCCTAAAGCCTAAAATATTAGTGTTGAATTATTTTCTGTTCACCTGGGAGTATAGGAAGAGACTGGGCTATTTTTCACCTCTACACTCATGGTTTATTACATCACAGAGGAATACTATATTTAAAATTTATTAAAGATAGATTCTTAAAAAAAAAAAGATCGATTCTGACCTAGTTACTTAGAAAATCAATTTAAAAGCAATGAAACAACAGAATGAAGACAGAAGTTTAGGGAATTTTCTGTGTTTAGAGAATTTCTGTACTTCTTAGATTTCAATGTATAATGTGTTTTGAATAATGAGGGTGAAGATAAGATATAAAACTATTTAAAAAACGAGCACTATTTGCCTAGTCTGTCAATCTGGAAATCTACATAACAACTGTTTAATAGTGTCATCTCCCAGTAGTAGTGTTAACAGATGGGTTTTTGTTTTGTTTTTTGCCTATATGACTCGCCTAAAAAATTTTTTACAGTGAATATTTATTTAAAATAGTAAATATTTTCAAGAACGAGGAAGAACTGGAAGGCTCATATCCTCCATGTGGGAATTGTGAACCCCAAGAAGGCATATATCTGCCAAAAAGGACTCCTCTTGGTTCACAGGGCCCGAATTCCTACCAGGGTCTAGCAGCCCACTGCTGACAGAGACCTGTTACACACACTGAATTTCTGGGGAAAACCACAAACTGAGCTGACAAGCCTCCTGCACTGTGTTCCTGCCCACTAAGCCTACTCTTATAACAGAGTTCCAGGAATCATCTTTCAACCAATGGGCTGAGACCTGCCCCATGCAATTGGAACAGCACAGCTACATCCTCATTTGCATATTTACTGACCAAGCAGAGCAGCTCTATAACAACCAGTCAGAATGCACAGTTCTGATCCATCAGGACAATGGTGTTGGACCAATCGGATTGTGCAGCTTTGGATTTCTCACTTGCATATAAATGGACCAATCAGAAATGTGGTGGAAACTTTATAAAAGCAGGGCTTCCTTTTGTCTCAGTGGAGAGCACTTTTGGTGTTCTGAGGCTGCTGCAAACGGTTTGAAATCTGTTTACCTGGATAAAGTTTCTCCTTTTACCGCACCCCAGTTTGAGGACCACTATTAGCATTAGATTGGTGGCAGTGACTTTTTGTTGACAGAGTGTAAATGGCACAACTACTTTGGAAAACAGTTTGATAGGTTTTTTTTTTTTTAAGTTAAAAATACATTGGCCATATGATACAGTCACTCCACTTTAGATATTTATTCGACAGAAAATGAAAGTATATGTCTATACAAAGAATTGTGCACTATGTGCATAATAGCTTTATTTGTAATAGCCAAAATCTGAAAATAATCTGAATGTCCATCTACAGGTGAATGGATAAAAAAATTGTGGATAAAAAAATACTATCAGCAATAAGCAATGAATGAACTATTAATACACACTATACGACATGGATGAAATAATTATGCTGAGTGAAATTAGCCGGACAAAAAAGAACATATACTACACAAAATATTTTTTTTACTGCAGTAACAGAACTACTTTATTTAACATATGAAAGTATTTATTTTGTACAAAACATGGTAACATTTCTTCCTCTCCTCTGCCCCATGAGGTCTAACTCTAGAAACTCATATTTATAAAAACACTCTTGGCAGCAGTCAAGACATGATGAAAGAAAGTGCAATTCTGAAAGTAACATATAACCAAAATGGGGACTAAGAACAGGCAGAGGTTAGAGGGTTTCTTGGCTAGCTTTCTGCTCACAGGCTCTAGTCCTACTCTTCTTGTCTCAACAGGAAACATTTTAGGAATAGAGACTTGCATATATTATTTAAGTAACTCTGCCTAATTCTTGGTAGCATCCCTCTTCCATCTCCATCTACCCTGATGTTATAATTTGTAACTTTTTAAAGAAATTCCAGTCTGTTTTACATTCTTGTCAGTTGCCTATCTCCCTTTGAGCTTCAAAAATACAGAAGAGCAGTAAGTTTCAAAAGGATGTCAATTGAAACCTTTTATAGATGAAACCTGCTTTCTAGAAGTCAGTTGGCCAAACATATACACAGCTGGAGACAATAGATTGTGAAAATAGGTCCAGCTGGAAAGTATGTTAGGTACCGAATTAGATCCAGTTATTCTGCGTCTGTGGATTTAAAATGATCATCATTCACAGTGGAATAGATGTGTCCCTCGTTGCTTAGAAAGCCCACAGCTTGCTTGATTGAGACTACAGTCATGTGTTGGGGCTGGTTCTTGAGTTCGTGAAAGTTCAATACTTCAGGTCTTGGGCAAGCCTTAATCAAATTCAGTACCTGGTTTTGGGCCACGGTGAGGCCATTTACTGGCATGAAGCTATTCCTACCAGAGTTCCCTGCTTCACCCATTCCTGGATTGCTGATGGGTGCTCTCCCTGCTGAAGGCTGGCTGTTAGCTTTGCTGAGTGTCATGTGTGCATTCACTACTTCCAGAATATGTGCAGTGAACTCATTCATATCCTCCAGGGGCATGATCTTAAAGGCTATCAGGCTTTTGTTGTTCTGAAAAGAGCTCAGATGGCCAGCCATTTTCACATATGTTTCTGGAGGAACCACCGGGTTTTCACCACTGGTGTCATCTGTGTCAACCCACTGGTGAACATCCATGGGTGCAGCTGTCATGTTGTCTATTTTCTAAACAATATTGGAGCCTTCTCTGCATGTCTGATTATCCCCACAATAGTTACCTGTGAAGAAATCTCAACATTCTCAATTCTGAACACTTCATCAACCAGAGTAGCAGAAAGCAGCTGTGATATGGTACAGAGCACAATGTGCTGGGCTTGGGCTCATGATTTTTTTTCAGCCTGGGAAGGTGCCGGCGATCCAAAGCCCACAGGGGACTGTGTGTAGCCACTGGCTCCCCTAAAGGTGGAGCTGCTATAGCTTTCAAATCCACCATTCCACATCTTGGTCACAACTCCCCAGGAAACAGACCTAGCGGGTTCCAGTCTGCTGAGTTCACCGTTCGCCACAGCTACATGAACTCTTTATAGAAAACTCTAGAAAAGGCAAATTAATCTATATAACAGAAAGCAAAGGAGTAGTTTTCAGGGCAAGGCGGGGGGAACATCAAGAGCATTAAGAAACATGAGGGGTGATGGATATGTTCATTATCTTGAGTTTGATGATGATTTCATGGGTGTATATGTATATTAGAAGTTATTAAATTGTACACTCTAAGCATAATTCATTGTATGTCAATTATACCTCAATAAAGCTGTTAAAAAACAAAACCCCTAGAAGCACAGATACCTGTATGATTGTTAGGCAAAAGAAGAATGAAGTACTTGAACAGAAATAAAAGAAGGATATTGAAGTGGGGAGATAACAGAAATAGGTTAAAGCTCAAATGAGTTGGGTTGTATCTGAATGGATCTCAGTCAGCAGTTTTCTCAGATGGCCTCATCCAGACAGCCAGAAAGTGAGACCCACTCAAGAGGAGAGGAATAAACATAGGTAGAAT